AAAATACACCATTAAACAGAATTCTATATTACAGAAGACGGAAGGTATGAAAGATAATTATGGAAAGTTTTCCTATTTATTGGTCGAGCATTTAGGGAGACTAAAAAGAGCCCAAATACAGAATACAGCAAGTCCAAACTGCATGAGAACAAACTTCCACATTTCAACCAGTTTAAACTTTATCCGTTATGGAAAAACGATTCATTTCAACATACCGTTCATTTCACAGATTACAACATGCGATTAATGGAAAAAATGAATCAAATCCAGTGATATAAAATATTATTTCAGTGGTTCGGAATTAAAAAGCGCCTTTCATAACAAATATAAGCCAGTATTACTACTTATTCAATAGGCATCGCGTTTTCTTTTACTATAAATCCAAGTCTTGACCTCAGGATGACACATTCAACACGATCCATTATCCTTAAAGCTAATTACTCTAATTACAGAGGGAAAATCAACAAAGAAATCTTAACCTTAAAAAAAAACGTAACCAAAAACGGACTGCAAAAACAATTCGCCAAAACAAAGGAAATCATTGAATGAAACTTACAAGCAAAGACATTGCAGGATAAAGTCGATATAATCAGTAAAAAAAGTGCAACATGAAAAACTGCTAGGCTGAATTTCTTATAGCCCCATTATTCCGGAAATCAGCGTTGTTGCAATTACCGCAGTACCATCATGTTCACGATAACACCACGGAATCTTTGTAGTAAAATGGAAATTGTGAGCTGAAATTTCGAAAGTATCATATCCAGTAATAAAATTTCATCCGATATATCATTAGAATCGCTTAGCCACTTGTACAACGAGTTCAACGATGTTAAGAACTCAGAAAGAGTAATTTAGACTGAACTTTCTACCAGCTAGATGAAAGCTTGAAAAAAACTACCACTTGATATTTATGTTGATGTGGTTAAGACAGTGAGACGAGTGAAGACAAATGTAGAAAAGTAGCTAAAATTATAGACAGGCCAGTGTAACCAATGGATATGATCGGTTCTGAGGTTATCGTAGGGGATCAGTATCATTGGAAGACCGAGAAATCAGAGAAAGAGAAAAGCAAATTTACTATATAAGAAATAATCGAAATAAGAGCGCTGAATACAAGTTAGAAATAAGTATTAATCATAATATGGATTAGCGATAGTTAACTACATTATAATGTTCAAAGTACAACGACAGTAAAAGTCTAACAAGGGAAAGTGTCCTACATAGAATAAATGAATTGAATGTGAAGAGAATGCATTTGATTTTCATTCGACTGATACTATTTTGATATTTCACATTCCCACATTACAGAAATATTGTCCAAAGGATCAGTTATTTGCAAATTCACCCATTAATTAGAAAAGGTTTTTGTTTTTTGCTTGGTCGGCAAAATTGAATATTTCTTTGCAATACCATAAAAGTTGATGAAATACATATTTGTATCACAAGCTTCCAAAAGAGAAAGCAAAACTTTCTTGTTGTATGAGACGAAAATAAAAGTCAACAAACTTTTACAATCCTTTCGTTCCGTCGCCGCTTTAAAACGACAACAATTCCTACAATAAACGAACGTACAACCCTGACTGGCTGGCAAATCGCAGCGTAAACACTTCAAATAAGTTTGAACCTTGCACTGCTCCTTGTGGCCTTCGATCTGTAAGTCGGCGTAATCCTATGAAAAATCCCAAATCTAGATACGAGAGGTCCTAAGTACCACAAGACTAAAAAATGGCAGAAGTCAATGTCTGCTTACTACTATCTTCTTCGTTTGCTATTTAAAGCTTCCAAGATATGTGTCTAATTGTGTTTCGTCTCGGAGAATATATAAAGCAGTTGTCAACTAAACTGGCCCATTTCATAAAAGTATTTGTAAGGATAAGACTAACTGAATGTTGGAAAGGTAGAGTTCTTTGGGAGTATACAAGAATACGATATACTTGCACGAGAAGCTATACCAGCTCCGACTAAGATTGCTTCTGTTTTTGGAAATATGATCCAAAATACAAGAGCTTAACGGACATCACCCCTAATCTAAAAATTACTATTTTCTTATGATTACAAAACAACTTTACAGCAACTGCAAATATATTGTATTAATTATTATTTACTTTCCGCTTCTCACGCTTACGCAGTTGCCTCTTTGAAAGACCAGTCTTTTGAGCCAAAGCATCAAGCTCCGCTCGTCGTCGTTCGCGATATAGTGAATCAGAAACAGATGAATCATCGCGCACTGGACGGTAATAGGGCTTACAGATCCAATGAGGCATCAAGGCAGGTGAGGTAACCAAAGCTATTGATTTTATTTCTGCAAATGAAAAGATTGAAAAAGCAACATCTTTTTTTTTCATACCAATTAGACACAAAAAGGAATCTAGGAAGAGGGTGAAAGCCTTTATTTAATAATAACCCAACATAGATCAAATAAAAAAATCAAGAGTTGGTTAATAAAATTAAAACATTGCAACTCTAAACTAAAAAATCCACCTGAAAATTCCAATCCTGAACTCGAAACTGACTGAAAAACACGTTCTTCCAAATCGTCCACAATTTGATGGAAACCTTTCATGGAGCACACGTATGACAAACGTTCACGCAAATCGCTGTACTCCAATAAACTGAAAATAATTTCACGTCGGAAAAAACTATCAACAATTATTTTATTAATTTCTCAATTAACATAATTTGGACAAATTACAAATACTATTAAACTACAATGGAAACAATTCATCAAGATGCAGTATTAAAACTGGAAAGAAAGCAGTAGGAGTTTTTCAGAAATTTCAAGGAGATTAAGAAAATGCACGAGCCTGACCAAAACCATCAAGCTCAAAAAAATTAAAGAAGCTTTCAACAATTAAATATCCTCTTTTAGGAGGAACAATTGTCGAGAGAGCCTTACTGAACTGACAGGAATGACGGAAAGGAACGAATTCTATCAGTAACGATAATAGCAAGTAATAACAACAATGAAACCTGTGGTGACATATACGAAACAAGTGAGCCCGTACAGCACTAATAGTAGATTCATAACGTTCCGCGAAGTCCAAGTACTCTCGAGCTGCAGTCCAATTTACTTCGTGTCGTTTTTCGAACAGGTACGGATTCGAAAGGATGCCTTCAGCACTCATTATTGCACTTGCACCTGTTATTTCTAAGCACCGATCAACATCACCGGGCAACTAAATAACAAATGGCTGAGCAACTTTTTTCATAATTAGGTTCCGTATAAATCAAAGTATACATAAATAAATACACACATAATCTCATTCAATCCGGATGTTTTCGAAATCAGATTCTTTTTACTCACATCTATCGCTTATTACTGATGTCTGCAAAAAAACTCAGGAAAAAAACCTGAATATTGCCATTTGCTAGGACTGGCACATCAACAGCATTTACGACGGCACGCATCGCATACCAATCCGCTAGGCCAGTATTCGGACCTCGTTGTTCTCGAGTTCTTCCGTGAACAGTGAGCATGCAAGCACCAGCTTTCACCAGGGCCCTGAAAATGCACAGTTTAATTCAAGGCAAATAGGCCTCGCAACTGCATTTTTTATTCTTGAGAAAATTAAATAGATTAATTGAAGCTATATCACTAGACTATTTTGATGAATGCAGCAGAAAGGATTGGGTCAAATAGCTGTTTAAACCCTCACCATTTCGACATTGTATAAATTTCACTTAAATTTTTGGTGTAATTAATATTGAAAGGTCACTGACACAGCATAAGCTATTGTTTCATTAATATTCTGAAGAATTCGTATTTTGCAAGAAAGAGGTAATTGCAAACGTGAATGCAGCAATGCAACCATTTCACAAATCAATTTTTGATCTTCCTAAAATGGACGATTGACGATGTAACACAACAGACAGTACCAGTGTTTGTTAAAATGAAACTCTGTAAATTATTAAGAAGTAATCGAAATCGCAATTCTCATGACAAATTCCAGTCAAGGATAAGGTAATACAACACCACGTCATGATAAATCATTAAAAAACAATCAAGTCAATCGATTATGACTCATTAGACTTGCCAACAAACAGATTTGTATTTCTTTTTTTCCTTGCCAATGCTAATTTCTCTAACAAAACTTATTTAAGCTAAACTTGAAATAAAGAAGAAACTGAGGTTTAAAGTTTTGGGGGAAACCTGCAAATAAGCGCCATAATGTCCACGTTTAGCGATAAGCTGAGGACAACCCAAGTTCAAATCTACTCCATCACAGAAGCTTTCAACTAACTGGCAAGCGGTTAACAATGTCACCGGATCGTTAGCACAGAACTGCACAATAAGCGGTCGATCATCAAGGGATGTAGACAACGCCGTGCGGCGATAGGTAGCATCGGTGATAAAAAGCTGCGCATGTATCATCGGTGAAAAACAAAGGTGAGCTCCATGCTTTCGCAGCATCATCCGGAATGCGAGCTCACTAAAATTAATTCATTTCTAAAATTAGCTATTTCAATCTCCGCGTACTTTCGTCATTTGCATTACTCTAGTTCTGTTGTTTTAAATCCATCTCATGAAAATTACAACTTTAGAAAAACCTCAGACCTTTCTCGTTACGCTTTTTATTGTACTGTTACACCCTCAAGAGAATGAATGGTATTATTTTAAAGAAGTTGTCTCATCAAAATCTCCTTATATTAATGACATTAGTGAGCTTCAAGTAATTAACTGACCTTGTATTTGATGAGAACAAGTTCAAAAATAGAACAACCTCTGATCCACCATTGGTGCCACAACACAACGAATCCCCCTGATTCTTTCGCGCCAGAATACTTTCTTGGCCAATTTTCGAGAATCGCTAAGTTCTGGTGGATTTCCTTTATACGAAACATGTTTCCCCACGTGTAGGATTAACCTGTCGTTGCCATCCTCCATGTACTGAGGAACGCTCACCTGTAACGCTCAATCCACCTCAAATTGAACGCATGCAATCCACTTGTCGCGACATTTCCGCCCCATTCACCTCTAGAACTATCGCTAAACAATCCTTAATCGAAACGGATCATATTATGTGCTAACTCCCTAAGTCTATTATGGTTGCAGACACCATCATGATAAACCCAGAGATCTCAGCGCAGAACACAAAACACTTCGCCAAAGATAATCGAGGAGTACCAGAAACTCCACTGGATGGGTCGACTTGCGATGGGTTGATGGCCTTGTTGTCAATTTGGTGTGAGAATAGGGTTTGCTGTCTCCCAAGTTGTACCAAAATGAAACGTATTACTGTTTCTAAGTAACCTTAATGAAAGCATAGAAGACATCAACAAAGGTCACTCTTGGCCATTGCTCGCTTCTCATAGTCATAAGCCATTCATTTAGGAGAGATCAACACATTCTCCTTAAATTCTCAGAAATGTCAGAAATCGAATGATCAAATGCTTCACTGTCCTTCCCATTTACAGTTCAGTTTTAACATTTTAAAGTTCTTCTCTTTACGAGTTATCGGAAAAGAAGAATTTTAATTGCAAACATATATGAATGTACGTGATGAAAGTTAACTCTTCACATGGGTCATTTCCAGTTTGTTACATGTCAAAGAGATGAAAGGTCTGAGACTGCCCAGAAGGACAGAAGTGACATTGCTGATGCTAGATGGAAATAAAGTTTGAACTCACAACTCTCTCCCACTTTTCTAAAATTCTTTAGCAATTGAATTGTCAACTGTCTCGGGCTTGACATCCCAAGATTCTCAATAGCTCAGTATTCAATTGTCAACATCATGAAGCGTTTCTCTGTTCAGCTGTGATGTAATCAATGCATCAGTCAGTCTGGTCCTCTCTAGCTGTTCAAGTCTTATATATGTAAAGCTACCAATATGTCCACTGCAGGTGTGTCAGTCTGTCCGCATGAAGGTGTGTGTATGTGAGTGTCTGCTTGCACATGCATACACTTGTTCCGTTTGTGACATGTTTGTACTGATAATAGATTTATTTGTCTATAAAAAGTGAATGGATCGTGTTTGCCTTAGCAAGTTCACTTGGTATGTATCACATTGTCCGTTAGATCATCAGCAAAGCATAAACTGTATATCCGCAGCTTTCCATTGAATAGTTGTATTTATTCGAAAAAAAAAAAGTCTGGTAAGGAATATTTCTCGACGCCAATAATGTCAACGTAATAGCTGAGGGACGCCCTTCATCGATCGCAGTAATGGCAATGAGTGCGTTTGTCAGTCGTCACTTATCTGCCTAATTTATAATGCCCTTATTAATGGGGAATAACCTGAGTCTGGCGGTGGTCCATTTGCTGGGAGTTTTGAATGTTCACTACCGTACTCAAAACACTTCGTTCTCTTCCATTTATTTATTTCAGGAATTTTGTCGACAAAGGCCATGCCAAGACGGCCTCTCACAGATATCGAATGGCGACGTAGTCTGCAACGTCGGAGAATGTTAGATGCTGAACGAAAACGTCGTTTACGTGAGGATAATGCTTATCGGATACTGGAACGAGCAAGGAATCGTGAAGCACGTCGTAGGCAACGGGAAAATTCTAAATTCCGAGAAGAACGTGCCCGTGCACACGCTTATTACGTACGTTCCTGTATCACAGCATTTGATGATAGTAGCTGGAATTAGTTATAACAAATGTGAAGAAATTAGACTTGAAAGCTTCCGTGAGAAGTATTTTTACGATAAAGTTCTTAAAAAGTGTTCTCAGAATCAGTCATAGGGTACATTCTTAATTTTCTCATTTTTTCAGATGTTACTTTCTTCCACAGCAACCAATGAAGGCATTATATGCGGTACGTGTGGTTTAATCTTGAAACATGTGAAAGCTCTTCGAACACATCGTGCAGCGTCCTATTCGAGACAGGTGCTTTAGTTTTTCCACTTGTCAGCATTGGGTTCTTATCAGATAGAGACAAGAAAGCCTTACTGATTGGTCAGTTCTGACTTTATCCATTAAGGTGATACTTAGATCCAGTAAACTCGAATCACTCAGCCCTGACTTCAGCCAATAAGTTGGTACTTAAATCCATTAGGCTCGATTATTCAATTCAACTCTTATTGATACGTTCTTTTTCGTGAGCACATGAATTTACTTATTGTTTGGCTGCCAGTGTTATGCTTCAATACGGGCATAATTTTTGTAATGTTAATGTTCTCACAATAATCCCCATCTTACATTCATGCTCAAGTTGCTGACGAAATCTCTGACTTTTCGATAGTATTGAAATATTTGTGTATATTTCGCAATATTTTTTTCATGCATGAAACTAGGTATACATATTGGATAATTTTGTTGCAGAGGATGTCCTTAGAGAATATTTTCAAGCCTGCCTCAAAGGATGTATCGCTGTCTAAGGATGATAGCGCTTTTGATTTCAGTAAATTAGTAATGAACGCTGGGAAGAAGGAAGGTAACTCACGTTTAATTCCATCTTTGCTTTATTCCATTCATATAATCATAATGTGAAGGTTCTGTTGTCCCAAATTTCTTAAATAATTTTCTTGGCTTGAGACAAAATCTGAAATATTCAAGTTTAGACTATGATAATAGCGAAAAGGTATCTGTGGCGAATCAAATAAATGTTGTTACAGAAGCTATTGAATTTCTTGGTATGACTTTTTGAATTTTTTAGCACTCTTCCACTAGTAACGTTATGTGTTCAGTTTCCACTTTTTATTTGCATTTCCGTCTGTTCTGGCGATGTGTTAGCAAATATCGCATTTTATGTAGTCGTGACGCAGATAAAAATGTTTAAAATCTTATTGATGTGCAGCTCAAATTCCTATTTATTCTGTTTTTGTCTCATTTTTGCCCTTTTACTTAGCGAAATTTGAAATTCTACTGAACATTCATTGGTAGATTTTTATGGGATTATATTTTCTGATGTGGAAGCAGCGGTAGAGAGACTATCATCATGCAAATTAAAGAAGCACCGATCTGATTTACAAACGCATTTGGCTTTTGAGGCTAAAGTAAGTTGATGTTTTGAAAGATAACAGTGTTGTGTTTGTAGAATAGATTAGCAGTCGGAAAGACTTAAATGAGAATTAGGTCGAAAGAAAAGAAATGGAGCATTTGATAAGCTGTTATGCTTTTTTTTCATGCTTGTGAGAATTCTAAGTTTTTGGATCAATTCATAATAGAGTGTAACCAACCTAAAAACTAGATTTTTAGTTTGTCGACGGTACAGAAGAGTAGCGGATGATGTTCTTTAGATATCTAGGACACTTGAAATATCCTCTGAAACTTCGAGAAAGATTTGTTAAAATTGACTGACGATATGATTGCTACAGAAGTGCTATTGATCATGAAGTCTAGACCATCAACTATTTAAGTAGTGATGGGTTGAGCAGTACAGTTTGTGAACTGGTAGGTCATTTGACTATAACTTGGTGTTAGGCAGTCATTAGTACCCACTGCAGTTCTGTTTTAGAGCTTATCAGTATCAACCATAAAATTGTGATTTTTAGCTGGGAGAGTTGTGTGAATATGTTCTTGAGACGGAAAAAACCGTTTGAGAAACTTGCGGCATGTGAAGCTGCTTCTTTGAATTTCATGGAAGGAAAAAAGCTATCTACACTTTCAGATCTGATTTCTATGTTGAGTATGCTTTTCGCTTTACTTCTTCGTCATTATTTTAAAGTTATTTAAATTTTTCTTGGATTTCCAAAGTTCAGTGGAAATTTTTGCAGGGGATTTCATTTTTTATGAAATACCACCTGCGCCTGATGATTTACTTTTTGGAAATGGTCAGACTAAATGGGAAGAACTAGGTGAAACTAATGTGATAATACGGCGAAGTGAGAGTTCCACTTAACATATATGAGCGAGTTTTTAAAGTTACTTCTACGTTTTTGACAGAAATATAATCAATAAGTTCTGTGTTCGTTTTTTTAAGATTTACAGTTTGCGAAGGCTATTTTGTTACTTGATTCAGATTTGTAATTTGCGAGAACTATTTTGTTACCTGATCGCAGCGAAATAATGTAACATGAAGAAAAATAAAAATACGTTATGTACGTTACTGAAAATACGTTGCTGAAATAGAGTAGGAGAAATATAAAAGCAAATGGTATAAGTAATATATTAAGTAATGAGTAATACGATGATACGGATCGAATGGTGAAATTGAGTTATGAATTTTGAAAAAAGGATTGGACCAGTGCTAGACAGAGCTGAGTAGATACACGGTATTTTAAGCAAAGTATTTTGAACTTAGCTCAACATTTTGATTGTTTTTTTTTTTTTTTTTTTTTTATTTTCAGAGCATAAATCGGTTCTTGTCAATGGTGGAAGCAGTGTATTCGTAAAGCTGCTTGTTGTTAAAATGTGGCAAGAACTTTTTGTATCTTTGATGAATATACGTATGCGAAAAAACGGTTTTGGTTTTCCTGTCTCATTTCCATCTGTTCATGTTATTGAAGAAAGCTGAATTCTCTGTGGTGGTGGCATTTTTGTTCTATATTCTGGTTAATAGCTTTTACGGATTTATTCCGCAAATTTTGAAAACTTACCTTTCGTGCAGCACTGTATAGTTCTTGTACATAAATTAGACATTGTTATTTACGTAAGGTATTTTTGGTGTAAATAGATTTATTGCATTAATAAGGTATTTGTAAGTTGTAAGCTGTAGTTAGCTAGCAATCTAATTACTTAAGTTAAAGGAAATATTAAAGCAATTAAAGGAATAATGAATTTTCATGAAAGTATTCTCATTGCATCCGTATTCTTTTAAACCTGTGTATGTATTTTCGTAAAAGTCGCAAGTTCTGACATATCCAAACATATTGCGCTTTTTTGGAAAAACGTTTTAAATCATTTCGAAGTTTGAAAAACTAACATTTTTTAAAAACATCTCTCTGAAATGCAGCAACAGGATGTTTTAAAATACTGTTAAATTTTTCTACGAAAACTCCAACGCTTTTGCTTTTGGATGGCGGAGGAAGTGATATCTGTTGAACATGTCAGTAACTTTAATTCACTTAGGATGAAGAGGTAATATGATAAAGAATGCTGAGTCATATTTACTGAGAGGAGATATTGAGAAAAACTCTGGAATGATTATGTATTTCATTCATTTCTGGCAATGTGATATGTCCGTTAGAAAATCCGGGCGTTTTTGCTAATCGTTGTGGATTGTAACATAATTTATTCCTTTTTTTATTGTTATATTTGTTCTTGTGGATATTGTTAAGCATTTCCACTTGTTATATCACATAACATTTATTTCTGTTTTTCTTTTCTTTTATCTTTTAATAATCCTTGCTGTAGCAGTATTTTGTGGTCGACGGATAGTAAACTACTTGTATCCAGAACTTTAATATTTTCGTCTTCTTGCGTAATGAAATATGTTATTTTAAAAAATCTGATGTTCTGATATATCTCAAATATACCGTTGTGAGAGAACGGACACCTCGGAGCATGCCATCAATGCTAGAAATATTGGAATCCACCAGAGAAAGTTCCCAGTTATCCGATGTATTTATAATAGGGAAAGTAAAATGGAAAAATGAATGGAAGAATCTGTTTCGATAACCGGAAAAATGGTAGCAGAATGTGTGAAGGTGAGGTGTGTAGAACGGGGTGAGGTCGTCTCTCAATGGCAGAATGCGGGCAGGGACAAGAGGAACTCGGATTAGTCGAATATGGAATTGTATGTCGAGGAGTTATATGAGGGCCTGTGTTTACGATTACCAAAAAAAAGTAGTTGAAAATTTTTGCATGATATACTCGAAGATGATTATGATTCGTTTTGTTCTAGTATACTAGATGTATGTTTGCTTCTATTCAGATCTCGTAAAAATCGTAAGTGTAATCAAAGATTCTTCATGGACATTCAAAGCAATACATCACCTGAACCAATCCAGGATGAAAGCGAAAAGTAAACAGCACTGTTTACAATTCTTTCATTATTTTGGTTTCAATTAAAAATATAAAGCTAAAATACTGTTAATCTGATGGAGGAGAAACATTCTGTTATCGTTTGATTGAAGTTTTGATATAAAATGAGGAATTCGACCTTCTTAGAATTTAGACTGTTGGAAAGCTCATCAAAGCAGATGGACACTGATGAATTGCGAAGGCAGTTGCAGTTATCCCAAAAGCGTGAAAATTTGGCTAATCTGAGATTGACTGTTAAAGAGAAGCAATTACGCGATTTGTTGGTTTGTGTTTTTAATTTAAATGGAATACAAACTTTTGTCCCTAAATTTAAATACAGAGTTTAAGAGATTTATTTCTCCTGGTTCAGTATCCCTGGTTAGTGGATTGATTCTCAATTTTCTAGTATTTATCACACTTGCCATGGATGTTTGTCGTATTTCAAACTGTATTTCACTTTGAAGTTTCTTAGTTTTATAGTCTAAATCGAAGTAAGCATCTACTGAGTAGTGTCGGATTACCTTATGATCATATTTGGATTGGAGATGCTTAAAATGTTTATGATATCCATGAAGTTATCGATTTTTGCTGTTTTTTTTTGTAAAATGTTGTTCATTTTCATTGATTAAAATAGGTATTCCGCGAACTGTTACACTGGCTTACATATGCAGCCTCCCTTACATGTTGTTGATATATTTTATTTCAAAGGATGAAAATGAATCGATGAAACGTAATGCCAGCGATGAGAATAAAGCAGACTGTACATTTGTTGATCAAGCAGTTGGGGTGATGTTCTCAGCAATGCGTGATGAAATTCGTAAAGCCCGTAAAGATGCTAAGTTGGCAACCCTTGAATTAAGGGCTCTCAAAAATGGACCAGAAAGGTTAGCTGTTTTTAATTTTTTCTATATCTATTTTATTCAAAAGATCTTTCTAAATAAAGATTAAATACCAGTTGTTCGAATTTTGAATTTCTTCAGCAGTGATGCGAAGGCTTTAGCTGCACTGTGTAAAAAACTAGAGAAAGAGAATGCCGAACTTAAAAATGAGGCAACCAGAACAACTCGTTTAGAAACTGTGTTGAGCTACTGTCGAAAAACTGTTGAAGGTTTGAGAAAGCGATGTCGAGGTAGGTTGATATTCTTAGAAAAAACATTACATTTTAAATCTTTTTCTAAGTCTTCGTTTCTGTGAAATAAGGCGTTATTACATCAATGGTAGATTTAGTTTTGTTTGGAATTAATTCCAACTCTTTTCCAATTTCGGTTCCAAAAACTCTTTTCTTATACTTGGATCTTTTTATTGTCGTTGTGTTACGCTGGATGCTTTATTTGAGCAACTACATCAAATTTTTTAGGCTAATTTCTGAGCAGACGAACTAAAACTTATTACTTCTTACATACATCCGCAAGTTTTTGTCTTAATTTTTACGAAAATTTGAAATAAATTACAGATTTTGGCGATATTTTGGGGGAACGTGATGAAGAAATAAAACGCTTACAAACAGAATTAGCCCGTGCTCATGAAGAAAATACGCGATTGCAGAAAAATGCAGGTGGTACTCGAACATTACAAGTACAAGGAGATAACCAAATTTCCGGACAACACGGTATTGTAGACGGTAGATTTTTCATTTTGTAATATTTCAACATGTAACATTATGGAAATAACTCAAACGATGCACTTTTAGGAAATACGTACTGTTTGATTTGCAACTTTTATGAACTGTGTTGCTTGTAATTTTCATTCGTTGCCTTCATTTCTACATGCAGTAAATACTGGGAAGTAATGGAGAATGGAAATTCATTTGTTATTACAGGCGTAGATCATCATGGCAGTGTCAGCGTTGTTATTAATGAGAACGTCGAAGAGGTATTTACTTATTAATAAAGCGAGGTAATCCTTCCATAATAGCATTTGGAATTGGCATTCCATTTGTGTCAGATTTCACAAAAAAATTATTTCCTGTCATTATGTGAAAAATTCATCAAATTTCCATCTTATTCATCAGATTGTATCAGTATCCAGTCGAGAATCAGCACATGAAGAGATGGAATCTGACGACCAAATTGATCGGGTATTGACACCTGGAGCTAGTGCTATCGAAGCAGTCAACGTTTCCAGTCCTGAGTCAATTCATGGAGCACCTGAACCGGAAACCATATCTAGCGATGAGCAAGATGTTGCTGATGTGTCATCTAGCAAAGATTCATCCATTATGGAGGGCTGCTCTTAATTTTCTTAATATGTCAGTATTAATTTGGTCCATAGTGAGCATGATTGTAAAAATTTTTAACTTTGTGTCGAAGAAATTTGCTTATATAATCTGCTTTTGAAGTATAGACCTATTTTCGGTCTCCTATAAGTGCATAAGTGTATTAAAAGATGTACTCATTTATTTACATATTAAGATCAGCATGATCACTGTCATCCACTAACTGTATATGTCAAAATTCAGTATTGTTACAATTAAACCAGATGTCAAGTAGGTTACCACCTAAATAAACCTCTGAATTTGTAATGATTCTAGAGGTTCATTAATTGCAAGACCACAATATCAGTCTCAAAAGCAAGTGATTACAAAGAAGTGGTTAAAGCTCATTGGCAAACTCGTTAATGGTTTCTGTTTTAAATGAGACATTTCGACGTTGTGCTCCTTATAATCAAAGAAAGAGAGGTTTAGATTTGAACAAGTCAAGAGCGCTTAAGATTGGATGTATGAACATTTTCCAGTTATTACAGTCAGCTAGAAATTTTGGGGATTGGAGTACAACGTAGTAACGCCAGAAGGTGTTACTGTTTTCCTATGATTCGTACTGCTTGGGCTGAGGAACGAAATGATGATCGAATTATACGACCATTAATTGGCTGGACTGCACGAATCGGTGACATCGTTTCCTCAACTTCACATTCATAACCTTCACGTTTCAGCGTGCGTAGCTTATCCAACTGCAAAGAACTGATTTTTCCTACATAGTTAATTGCTTTGTATGTAGAGATAAAACTTCGTTTTTGACTACTTCTACTTCGTTTTACTTCGTTTTTACTACTTCGTTCTTTTTTTTTTTTATTTTTTCAAGTACGGATTCTAGGAATGATACCTGATTCGAAGATATCCAAATAGTAGCCCTGAAAATGATCCACTGAACAGTTTCTCTATACGGCTGTATTGTTTCCGAACCGGTGTATGTCCAGAATTCCTTCATTTTTTCTATAAGATAAATTTAAACTTGTTTTTTTAACAATTTGAAAAAGTTGAAATTTAGCAAATTAATTTATCGAAATCAGCGACTAGTTTGCATCCCAATATTTACCATAGGTATGATGATTGATAAGAAATCTTGTAAAAATGATTAAGGTGATTCAAGAGAAATTGAAAAAACGAACCTGAAGAAGGCAGCATATGAGACAAGTTAACACCGCAAATCGCACATTCACTACCCTTATAAACCACCTGCTTTATGCCGTCAATTATTGTTGAGAATGTTGGATTGTCGTCATGCGACTCCTAAAATAATTTACATTTTAAATAAGACAAACATTTTACGATCTGAGTGGAATACTGTGTCAGTTCAAGTGATTCACTAATTAACTGCTAATTTTCATCCCAACAGAATTCTAGCATTGTACTGATGATATTAAAACAGAACTGCTCTGATTTTCCGGAAACTTCAAGCAGGCCAAAGAAATAACTTGGCCAAAGAGTGATGCCACGGTCAAGATCAAAAATTTCCTCGCTATTTCTAAGCTTCATTCGTTTCAAACAAGTGATTGTTGAAATATAATTGTATAGGCTAACATTTAGCAATACAGCCACACCCAGTATCCCGTTTGCCTCCTTAAATGCTGCTTCTAGATTCAGGAATCTCGTGTTCCGATGAATGAATTGTATCTCTCCTGCGTAACCCACCCCGCCAATTGTGTGTTCACTCCCATTCATAGGTTCTGTACCCCAGTGGAAATACACGGTCTCCAGAACATATCGCTCTTCACCCAAATGACTCGCTGAAAATTCCGCCCTACTCGAAGGATCAAGTTGCAGCTGCAAGCTATCACCTGCATTCTTTAATCGTGTTTCAACATTCATCGGATAATTTAATCTGAAATAAAGAAAGCATTGCTAGCTTATTAGAGCAACCTTTATCATTCATAAATATTTGCTGGAAAACTTTTTGTGTTCATTCATAAAAGTAAGCATTACTTTTGTTGCAACAAACCAATGCTTCTCATTTGGGATTGTCAATGTTGCTTTATCAAGTCATCTACTCTTAAAGTTTACCCTTTCATATCATTTAACCATTCTCTAAATTTTTATATTCAAAAACATTCAAAACTCTTTTTTTTAAAAATATCTAGCACCTGATTTCCGAATTTTCAAGCGTACTGTCAAAAGCTGTAACTGTCGAGAGTATATCAATAGGTGACTGTTTACGGTCTCCGGTTACCTGCAAACATTTTCATTGATTGCATTTGAGAAGTGCTGGATGACACTCAGGTAATAAATAGCAGTGTTTCGGAAAGATCAACTGAACAATAATATTTCGAACATGATCTATCTAATGATGATTTTATTTTGGCATATAAAACTGATTTATAGATTAGAACATTCACCTGCAAGATTTTGCCAAGATTATCGAGCTGAGCAGTTGCACGATTTAGAATTGGTGCCAGATTATCCCGTGCACGAGTTGCCGTTTGCAGTACGGAATTCAGCTGTGGCTTCACGTTGTTCAGTTGGGCTTGCACATTAGCTGTTAATTGGCCCAAAAATGCCATTTTATTATTTCTTCTGAAATTCATTTCCAATTTATATTTGCACTTGTCAGATTAAGCATTTCGCTTCAATCGACAATTTATTGATTATCCAATTAAAAATTTGATCATCTAATTACAATTAAATAAAGCGCATTTGTGACACGAAAACATAGGAAACGTATATGCGTTTATATCACATTCGTAGTGCTTTAAAAACTTCTATTTATCAGTGAAATATGAATTTTGTAAATTAATTTACAAAGGAAACGATAGACGACATTGAGGCAGTACTTGAATTTTATCATCCTGTCAACTTCTTGTCAATGAGAAGAATGTCGTAATAAATAGAGAAAATGGGATTGAGCAGAGCAAAGCTTCTTCAATAAGAATAAAAAAGCAGATAACCGAATATTTCCCTAATTCTCCTCCTTAAAGAGAAGTAGTTGATGATGGTTTTTGAAAATTTATTTTGCTGTCAACAGGAAATGATGTCGTCTTTTCAGCAATACACTTATAACATCGATTTTTCCATTCATTGTTCAATCAATCCACTAATCAAATCGCTAATGAATCCAATTACCTGACCTCAGCTCATTAATTTCCAGTGTAAAAATACTCATAAAAGTTTAATCGCTTATCTGGACTGTTTTCCTCTTTCATGTCATCCGATGCTGATGATGATGATGATGAGTACTGGCTGTTTCTAAATGCAACCTTCCAAGTAATTAGTGTAACAGTAGTTTGATGTTATTCTTGTGATGCGATATATGACAATGAGTAATTCTTACTTTCCATTATTTTAAAATCATTATCCTTGTATAAATAATAGAAGCATAGGACGAAACTTAACCTTGCTAATGCCACGGAACTATCTGATCTCTTTTGAAATGTGTCATCATTTTAAATCATCAACCTTGCATGTTAAATGTAATGTTATCAAATGATATGTGCATGAGAATATTTTCATTAAGATGTCAGAAAATTTTGCATGAATGATAAGAAAGTTGGATATAGTAGCAAAGATTTCTTAAAGTGTAAGAATTGTTTCAGACTTAAAAGAAAAGCGTGAAAAAAAAGAAAGATTGGGGACAATCAGAGAGACAGTAAAGTAGTTTTGAATTTTCCACACTTTTCTAATCCTTATTCCTATCACGAAAGTTACTTAGAGTATTTGACCTTATTTACCCATCTTTCACTGCGGAAATTCTCAAACCTCATAAGTAGTTCCGAAAAAATTTGTAGCAATAAATGGTGGCATGTTGAAAGGAATGAATCAGCATATGTTCCCTTGTAAAGAGTGAATTTGTTCAAAAGTAATTTTAAAAGAAAAAAATGAGGAAAATATGTTATTAAGAAGAAATGAAATAGCTGATAAGCAATTGTGTATATTTGTTGTAGCAATTTGTCATTTTCGTCAGGAAAATGGTTGAAAAGAGAAGCTGTAAAATAATTTGTGGGACAAATTAGAATGTCTTCCGTCATTTGGCCGTTCCAAAAAAAAGCTGAAATAGTTTGGTAAGTGGAAAGAAATGATGTTATTTGCAAGCTTATTTTGTCTTCTAAATTTCTTACTAACATGAAATGAAACAAAAAAAAAAAGGAAATTGAAATATGTGCTTAGGCTTGAAAAAATATTGCCTAAATCTTGGCTTTTTTTTTAAATATACCAAGAGTTAGGAGTTTATCATATATTGGCAAGGAATTAAACTGAATTTCTTGCAAGCCTTTTTGACTTTCAAGTAATCATTAAGTGATAGGGAATGGTATAATACCATGGAAATGGAATGAATTTAAAGTCAACGAATCAGAATTCCTTTCTCGGAACTGATTTAGTTATTGTGAGAGAATGGAAACTGTTTGTGAAAGATGGTAGACAATCGCATGATCGCAAAAATTATTTACAACCTTCTCGAGGGCAAAATATATTTACCTGAGAAGTTCAATCCTGTAATATTGGTTGATTTTTGCGCTCATAATTTCGAGTAAATTTTTCCACAACATTAATGGGAAACAAACTTACTGCAACATTAGTAGTTGACATGCTGATGAAAGAAAAAAAAACCAGAAGTGTGCTGTCTCGGGAATGTCCATTTCGGGAATAACTCTTACTCTGACTTGACTATGACTTAAAATGATTCATTTGTTTGTTTGTATTGATATATAACCTGCCAGGCGGAGTTTATACTCTCTCATCTGCTCATATACGCTGCTTATTGATGAATGGAAGTAATCTTTGAAGCATTGTGTAGTTTAGTTCGTACTTGGCTTAAATGAAAGTTTTCCTTGTAGAGAGATAGTCGGAAGTAGTTGCTTGCAGTTTGGATAAAAAAAAGGGGAACGAATTGAATTACATTTATTGCAATGACTCCTCTTTCTCTCTTTCTCCTTCTCTCTTCCTCTTTCTCTCCCTCCATTCATTCCCCTTCTCCAATTTGTCACCTCTCATATGGCGGTGACGGTGCATTATGGATTTTCGATAATAACGGCAGGATGCCCCTACTAAAATTTAAGATTTCCTTTGAATGCTTTTTACATTTACTTAAAAAATGTCGTCGTATGGGATCATTTTGCTGGGAATGATGTAATTGTCGCAGGTTAGGTCTTTGTGAACTCAGGCCATTAATCATTTCTTTTCCCTGAACCATTCATGAAAGTTTAATTGATCAGGAAATGAAATTATTTCCGAAATGGTAGAAGAACAAGGTAATGGCTTGTTTTTATCCCAACTGTTACCTGTTTGAATTGCAATTGAATGGATGCGAGTGAAGGTGGAAAAGAGGAAGCAGGAATTCGCGACGGATAAAAGAAAAGCGGGAAAGAGCAATCATTTTAATATCAAAGGAAAGAATAAGTTGTATTTTTTCTGCGGATAGCTAACGACATCAGGCTTTGTTATTATCTTTGGCCAGTACCATTCATCTTTCTATCTCTTCATCTTTCTCAAGTCCAGCCTCTTTCAAAAGCATACAACAATTAAGAGCCAAGCTGTATATACCACTGATGACATGGCACATGACGTTAGGCAATCAACGTGGAATAAAGTCCTGAAATCATCAAGCCTTTTTGCTTGGTTTCTTACTTCACTAATTCACTAATTAAGTCATTATTCATAAAACCTGAAAAGAAACAGAAAATAAAAAACAGGGGAAGGAAGGAAATTATTGAAAGTTAAATTTCGAATAAAGTTGTTAAAAATTTCAATCTGAAATTCCCACAGATGACAATTAATAAAAGCTCACATCCTTCTTCCCTCTTTTTTTTCCTACTATTTCGCTTTTTCTTCCCTATTTTTGACCTCCTTTAATCAATGATTACTTTTAATTCCCTCTAATTAAGGTAGAAATTAGAACGACTGGATTTCAAAACTTTCTTTTCCAAAAGATATTCACCGACCGTGAAAAAGAAAGTCGCAAACCTCAAAAAACAAAAGACATTTTTGAAAGGACGATGGATTCCCGAAAGAAATAATCATTATCATATAATCAGCTTGAAGTTTCATAATTTTTGTGGAAAATTTTATCAGTTGAAAGATGCCGCCACTCTCGCATTACAATGACACATTAACGCTTTAATATCTGTACTATATATATATATATATATATATATCTGAAAGTAAATATCTGAAACTAAATTATGTCATCTATATAGCAAACAATCAATTATCAAACCATAGAGAAGCAATTTTGATAGTCTCATATTATGCGTTTCATTCCAATAAACACACGTAACTATTTCAATAAGTGTATACTTTTGATAGCCAAGCAAACAGCTGTAATGTGAGAAACATAACGTGAGAAACGTGAAGTGAAGGATGTAACGTGAAAAAAAACAGCCAACAATTGTCTGTAGTAATGAAAGAACGAATGATATGAGAAGACTAACATAAAGTTACCTGTCGAAGAGATTTCTTTAGGATATGAAACTTACTCTTACAATGTAAGAGTACCTTAAAAGAATGAGATTGGCAAAACTTCAACTGAAATTAATCAGTTATCATCACTCGCATCTCATTATCAGGTCTACATTGCTTGGCTAAGTTGCATTTATAATTTATATTTGAGTGTACTAACCACAACCCAGAAAACTTCTTGGCTGACCCTGGCTATCTCATTTTGCATTCCAGCAAACTACAAAAAAAAGCAAAGATTTGAAATATGGAATCCCAGAATAGATATCATTCAGAATTTGAAAAGAAGAAAAGAGAAATGAATGGGAATATCCATTTATCATTTTTTTTTTGAAATGCGAAATGGACTTTGAAAAAGGAACAAAACAACAATATTGGTTAAAAAGGCCGAAAATTATGGCCAAGAAAACGACAAAAATGATGTTTTTCAGATTTTCTTGTTAAAAAAATTACTCAAAATATGTTTTTCAAAAAATCCTGCTTTTTTATTGAATAATTTATTGACAATGCTTGACAAAAGCGACTTCCTTTCGGGCATGTTTTGAATATTACACTAAGGATAAGGAAAGGGACGCATTAGTAAATAAATTGTATGAACTTTTAAATGTCCGAGAAGTAAGTTCGTTGAGTCTACCATCTTTTGAAAATATGCAAATCATTTAAGAGTTTTTAAACCTATTTTTCCCCGAACTTCCAGAAAAAGACAACCGCAGAAAAGTTTCATTTTATTAAAAGTCGCAGAAAAGTTTTACTTTATCAAAAGAAATTTAATAATGTATTAAATTTCTCAAAAGCTTGTTTTCATATCAGAGAAACAGAATGATAAGGTAGTCAGAATACCGTGAAGTATGAAGTTTGATTAATTACTTCTCCAATTTATTTAAGTTTTGAACGATTCCTCTGAATGTGATTGTCAGTAATACGATGTAAATGTAATAAGTTTTGAGGGAAAGCATATGATAAATTATAAGTGCAAACTATGAGAGCTTCCAATCATTTCGAAATTTTTTATGCCAAATCATAAATTTATCACATTTTCATGAGCTTGTAAGACTTCCGTTATTTCAGAAGGTTTCAGAAGGTTCACTCAATCAGCTTTTCAGAAGATTTACTTTTCATGTTTCAAACAAACTGTCATTCAACTTCCAATCTGTC